CGAACGAACTTTTAATTGGTAATATCAAGGTCCGCGACGAAATCTCAAACGTCCGGTATTTTTTCGCTCCTACTGACCATCTGCTGGCATGATTAAGCAACTGTGTATAATTTTACTTTTGCTTCACTTGTTTTCTGTTAAATAATTTGAACTTTTTGCTTTGGAAGTTCTTGGTCAACTGTTCTAGTTGAAATTGGAGTATCTATAGAGTTTTACAGCCTATTTTGTTGAGCTCAAAAGGAAATGTGCTAAAGTATTTCCAAATATGAGCGACGATTAATATAGAGTAATACTTTGATTAACGCTCAACATATATTTATTATATACAAGATATGTTTATAGATAGCGAGTAGGAATAAGAAAACATACAACTAAGAATAAAGGAATTTCATTTTAAAAAGTCATTTTTATATTAAGTTAACTGTTTGAGTGCTGAGCCTCGCAATCTATTTACTGTTATCTACTTATCTGTTACGGTGATATTATTATTTTTCGTTCAACAATGTAAGTATTTAAAATCATGTTTTTTCTATTTGTCGTTCTTACAATGATTTTTTTGCACTTATGTGATGGGTCAGCACTCAAACTTAGTTAGTTATTAATTAAATATTTAGTTATTAATTTTTTTCTCATTATCATAATCATTAGTTATTAATGAAATATTTGTAGCTTGTTTAGAATCCGAGAAAAATACATATTGTATTGAGTCAACGTTAATTCAGGTAGTATTAAACGGGGTTTTACCATACAATTTTTTATTACATTATTATGTAAACAGTGGTTCGTAATTTTAAAAATATAACGAGATTTAATAGTTATATATACCCATATATGCTGAATATATAAAATTATTATACTTGAATTTTACATATAGAATTTTATACAACAGATGGTACTTAAATATAAGAAGAAACTGATTAAGAACATTTTATTTTATAGATACTTTTGTAGTCCACCATTTCAAAATGTTTCCTTGTACCAGGAGTTATTGATTTTTTGTAAACTATTGCTTCCTTCCACGTGTTTATTTAACTTTGTCTTTTATGATACAGATTTAATAATAAAATAAAGTCAGTATCAGTATTAATATTTATACAATATTAACTAAGTAATATTACTTACTCTTTTTCAGCGTCTTTAAAAAGATACTTTGTACAAGGTATTATACGAAGTATCTTATTTTAATTGTTATAAAGTTTTCATTAATGCTTTCGTTTGTATATTTCAAGCCTAGAATATTAAAGAATCAAGAAGAAAAAGAAATATAAACGTTTTGAAAATATTTGATGCATGACCATTTTATAATCGACATGAAAGAAAGTCACAAAATTATATTACGCGAAAAAAACAACAAAATGATTATTCAAATGTTATAAATATTAGTTCCGCCTCAAACACTGTCTATCATACCCAATTTTTCCAAACTACATGCATAATAAAATAATCATTCTATAACATATACGATATAGTGCTATTTATTAAATAAAAAATACAATTTCATTTGCAAAGAAAACTGCATCGGTGCATTTATGAAAGTAATAGTATCGTTAGAAAAAAGACACTCCTATATCCTAACTGAATTGCACTATTTATTTTGTATACTTTCTACAAGCAAGATTAAGGTAATTAGAGAAATAGACGTTTAAAAATGGCAGACGTACCGCGAAGTAGAAAAAGTTATACTGCTGCTGGACCAAACTATTCGCAAAACATGTGCTAGGTGCTACGAGCTGTGCCATCGAGCCCGACAGTGACTGATCTCCTACGCATCTTCCTTGTGCACCTCGTAGCCAGAACACTTTTAGAAAATGAAAACCTCCTGGCTCACTCTATCCGACTGTGTGCAAGCACCTTTTAGAATTAAAGTATATCTGTATATGTATATCCAGACTGGGATACTTTTTATTTTCTACCAATATACAAAAGAAACTAATATGCGTATTTACGCTTCACACATTAAGAAAATGTAGGATGCATTCTTGGGTCCTTGACATTTTACATGCAAGGACTATCTAACATTTTGACCGTCACACCATTCGAATTTGGGAGACACAACTTTTTGTATACATTTATAAATGAATTTTCTTTGTGACATATCGAACAAAATGGATTTCATTGGATCTATGAATTGGAGGAAGCTTCACAAAATAATTTTACAATCCTTGTTTCATTAATACTAATCGTACCAGCACTTTATATATAATTATTCCTATTGTATGGAATAGTTAATTAACTGGCTACAAAAGAGATATAAACAAGTTAAGCGATCAATGATTCTTAGCGGAAATACGGACAAAAGGAAAGATAAAAATTGAAAAAACTGATTCATCGGACTTATATAAAGTTATATGAACGAAAGAAAACACAGAATTTAATCAAGTTTTAAAACCAGTCTTTTGACAGGTTAGCGGTATGGTTAATGTTAAGAAAATCGTTTCGACTGTATAAGAATTTAATGAGTGTCAATTTGGCGGTCAACGTAGTAATCTTATCTTCGATGCTTCAACGGTAAAGCCCACCGTATAAACTCGTTCACTAAAAACACGAATCAAAATACAAATAATCAGCGCACCCAAACATAAGTATCGATACGTATAATTACTTGTTTACCAACAAAATAAAGTTTCAATCTCTCATCTAACGTGTACAGTTGGGAGACTTGATGTCTAGAGGAACAGGAATAAAAGATGTCCTAATTTACAATTTTATAATTTAGATTGGTTACGCGTAACCGTATTGACAAATAAAAAATTAACCCCTTCACTTACAATATCGTGCCACACTCGTGACGAAAATTTGAAACTGAATTTAAGAAACCTGTGTTTTATTCGTGTGTTTTAAATATGAATAAAATATTACTTTTCTATTATCAATCGTTAACATTTGAAGTAAACGTAAACATAAAATAAGTGTCAACATTTTTTCCTTCCCTAATAAATGATTAACGATAAGGCAATCGTATCGATCACTGTTAAGGAATAAGTCATAGGGCAAGGGGTTAATGATCCAAAATGTCAAGAACTAGGAAATAAAACAAACAGAAAATTGGATGAGAAAAATGACAAAAGATGTCCCGGCCGCATACTTCACTCATCAAGTGATCTAGCAGTACACGTGTTCTTCCTCAGAACACTTGAACAGCGTTCGCCAGCCAATTATAAAAAATAATGACAGTTTTTAAGAAAACCGTGGTGGGTTTAACAAACCCCTTTAGTCCCATTAATATGAAAAGCGGAAACCAGCGGAGCTGGTAACGATCGCCTTTACGTGAGTCACGTCTTCCTTTGTCCCCAGGTCGCGGAACTTCGGCTGAGGGCACGGACTACAGCCTCTTGGTGGCTTGTTTCGCCGGCGGTATAACGGCCATATGCATTCTGATTGTCGGGATAACTTTGACCTTGTATCGGCGCAGCCATCCGATCCGCGGCATGAAGGCGCACACTGAGGTCGTGCAATACGGGAACAAAGAGGACGGGGTGGCGATAGCGCCGCTTAACAAAGATCCCCGCGATGAGATCAAGGGACAAATGTTCGCCGATATGCCAGACGACGATCCGGACGTGATTCCGAACAAGGTGGACAAGAGGCCGGACATATTTGAGCCGAATTACGGGACCGGCAAGCCGGAAAGATCAAAGGACTTCTGCCACTTAGAGGATCTCGATTATCCATCCCCGTCCTCGGTGTTGCACACCAAAGACTCTTGGATCTATCCGAACGGGTACATCGAGAAAATGGAAAAAAGTCTGAGCCCGATGCGACCGAGCACGCTTCCTGTCCATCGCGCGCTTGACGTTTACACGAGAAGCTCGCGAGTCCAAGAGAGCTGTATATAGACTGATACGGTTTTTAGCTCGCTGAACCTGATTACTTGTTCGGCGCTCGACACTGGCTAAATCTGAGTTCTCGGCTCGATTCGTGATCGGATACGAACGTCAATTGGATCTTATTCGGTGGAGTAATGTTTTTCACAGGTGAACATAACAGATGTCTCGTAGAGTTTTTATTGCGAAATTGGCTAACGTGTTCTTAGAATAAGACTGACATTGTAATTTAACGGGATGATGAGTGGTTTATCCAGAAAATACGAAATAGTCTTCTCTTTTTAATCGAAATTAATCAAATGAACAATCGGTATTGTTTGTGACGAAAGTAATCCATTTGCATCATAAGGAAGTATGAAAAAGAAAGCCCTTATCTCTAACCTTTTTTGAAACTTTATTTAAATAGAAAAATTACAACGAGTAAAAGAAACTACTATTGATTAGAATTACTATTTTCATTTCCGATAACACCCCACATTTTTATTTTTTAGCTAACGGAATATATAATGTCACACTCAGTGCTCTTGCGAGAATGACCAATAAAATTGAGCGTATATACACGCTCCGATGATAGTGACCAAGGAAATTGATCGTGTATATATGCTAATCATGCAAATGGGTTAAAGAGGAAAAATGAATTCGATGTTGCGTGGAAATCAGATTTTCAATGATACTTTGAAATACAGAGATTTGTTATGAAATAGTTTATTTAGATCAATTTTTAGTTGCGGAACAAGTTGGCGAAGTTTCCGTGAAAACCAATGGGACATTATGTACAATTAGAAAGTAACGATATCTATGACGCAGTAAAATTGTGAAAAATGGACACATATCATTACGTTCGATTACGATGACTCGTACTGCCATTTTGATTTCCAAATTGATTAAAACAGATTAAATTGAAATTTGAAAGGAACGATCGGAAAGGATCGGTTTCTCATGCGGATTCGTCGAGTCATGCCAAACGCGTCAAACACAATAAAAGACGTTTGTAAATAGACAATAACTATTCTTAAGACTCCTTTCCGAAGTGTCGAAGACTTGCTCTTATTTTTCACCTAGATTAAGTAACCGTATTTAAATGTAAAAAAAATGAAGATCGGATAAAGAAGGATTGTCATTTGCGGAGGATTCGATTCGCGGCGTTTGTACATAGACAATAAATTTTTCTTCCTTTAATGTTCTCGTACCCATCGGAAGCTCCTGTAAACTATGTGGTTTCGTGTTGAACATTGTTTCGTGAGGATGTTTGATGTACTGAGAAAATGGACACGTTTTGCTCGCTGACGTATTACCATGCTTCGTGGTCAACTTTGAATAAGCATGTAAACCTTTGTATATATGGATAATAAACCTGGTTGTTTAATAACTCTGGCAGAAGATTACTCACGAAAAGGAAAACCCCCAACATTGTATATAGAATGTACAGGTAGGTATTAATATAATTATTTCAGTTAAATGTTTTTTAAACAATTATTATAAGTCATAACTTCTTGTGTTGTTATTATTTGTACAAATCAGTGTAACTTGATGAGAATTTTGTTACATTTTAATATATTCGATTACTGATCTTTAGCTTAACGTGGGAAGAATAAAAATAAATTATTATTTTGTTTTTTAATTAAGTTATACTAACTTATTCATTCTGCTCATTGAAGTGCATAGATGCTAGAACTACCATAAAGAAATTCATACTTCAATGTATGGATTTAATGAAAAAATTTACGGATTTCTTTTACGTACAAAAATAATCAATTAATTCACTTGATTGTAGATTTATTAGTAAATACAATATTTTATAGAAAAAGTGGGTTTGAATTGAAATATATTTGGTTCTTCATTACTGGTTTTATTACAACGATAATAACAGGAAAACAAATTTAAACTTCATCTCTAATTTTATATCTATTTAAAGTTTCTTTTACTGTTGCAAATGCTATAAATGCATAAAATCCACGCTCTAGTAGCAATAGATGTGTCAACTAAAATCAAAGTCATAGAAAAGGGAAGTTTGACTAGTTAAATATCTAAAACTAATATATTCAAAGTTGTTGTCGATGGCTTGGAGATTTTTTTAATACGACGTAGAAACTTTTGTGTCAAAGAACATTTTCATCGTAATTTGTATTTGCGCCAGTGATTTAAAAAACCGCTAAGTACTGAATAAAAATCGTGAATTGCAGGTAATTTCATCGTACGGAATTTAATGCATAAAAATGATAAAGTATCATAGAAGCGAAGAATATTAAGGTTATCCTTAACGGAATACTAGTTTAATTGAACTATAGACGAATAAATTCTTCAAAGACACAATGATTTAAAACACTTAAAGTTTGGTTTGTATCCAGGAAAATTAGAAATGATATGAACATCTTTTAATAATTTTAGTTACTCGATATAAATTCAATAAAAAATCGTTGTCGCTCCAGAGGTCTCATATAGATACTCTACAAATTTTGTCGCATATTAAGTCGTTGCCAAACAATAATATTTAATGGAACAGATTATACCACCAACATATTAATATTTTAAATGTACTTCCGTTCCACGTAACGGCTTTTCCAAGAAATAATTTTGGTTAAAATATTCTACACAGTCTGTCGCATTGTAGACCATATTTAATACGAAACTTCCTGCAAACATGCACTTTCAGAAACCAGTTTGTCAAACTAAAATTAAATATAAAATTCAATGTATTTTGAACGTTCGCATAACACTGTTCCGAACAATAAGTAATTTTAATGTTGAGCATGTTGCGTATTTATTCACGCAATGTGCCAACTTATATCACTTTTAAGCTTTCCAACTTTATTATGATTCGATGCGTGTTGATCCTGTTTTTCACGCTACGCAGAACGCTGTTTCGCAGAACATTATTTAATACAGTCACGTGAGACACGCACTTGATTTTACGGTAATTTCGTGTTCGGCTTAACCGAACGCTAGTCTGCTTAGGCATACATTGGCTACATAACACCCGAAGCCATCGTTGACTGATTTTGGATGCGTTGCGCGCAATTTATTGAATTGGTAGATATTATTTGTAAGCCGCTTATCCGACACTGCGAATCTATAGATCTCTCTCGGAGGTATCTCGTTTAACGGTTAACACCGGGTACACAACGAGTCTACGGTCCTCTCGCGCAGATTCCAATCCACTCGTGGTTTGACGTTGCAACAGGGATCCAGAAGATGATGGATAACGATAAATCACATTGTTAGCGCAATGTTGGCTCGGTAAATCTGGTTTCGCAACGCGTTGAAATAATTTTTCACTTTCAATTCTTTACATTTCGACGACGAATACTGATACCGAATATCATCAAATGCTATAAGAATTTTGTAAAGCTGTTTTGTGCTTATAAGGACACGAATCTTTTTCATTTCCCTATTTATAAGAAAACCTTTTATGATATTTATCAAAACTGTATTATATGTTTTGAAAATATCGAAAGATTATTATAAGCAGGACACATAGCGTATTTTAAATAAATCAAGGAATTCATTTTTATTTTTTTATTCTGCAACAATTGCATTCGTAATTATAAAAAATGAAGTTCTAAGTGAAATTACGCTAGGCAACAGAAGTCAAAATTACTTAAACGCTTTGAAAATGTTGAAAGCTACTTACGTAATAAGAATATACGTATTACAGCTGATCAAATTTAATTATTTTTCTTTTTTTTCTTTTTATTCTTAATTTTATTTCCCTTCTTACAATATCGTAATTATAAAAGATAGCGTCATTTTAAATTTAAGTATTTTCAACATCAT